CATTGTCACAGTCATCATAACCATGGTATTTTAGCACTATTTTTTAATAATTAATAATGTGGAATCCTGGAGTTTTAAATATTTCGGCAAATTTTTAACAATTTGGTAAATTACAGAAGGACTAAATGGTATAATTGGTTGTGTTACAATCGTTGGGTTAACAATTGGTAATCGTTTTGTATTTAAATTGGAAGAAAACAAACGTTCTGGAAAGATTAAAGCTAACTGCGATGCGCTTTGTACAAATGAACAATGCAATAAGGTTGAACTTTATTTTTTTAAATTCAAATTTTTTAAATTAGTGTAGTTTTAATTTTACATTGTACGGCCAGTTCACATTGGTACGCATATTTGTCCACGTGATGTCGATTTTTCGACGTAATTGTAATGCACTACGCTATACGCATGACACTTTTAAGAGAGTAATGAAATCATCTGAAGAAATGTTTAGGTCAAATTGGCATTTCGTAATTTTGATAATTCATGACCACTTTTTGCAAACTTTTTAACTTCATTAGCTTACTGTTATACAGATAATAGCAGATTCGAAACGGAGTTAAGGTCATATAGTAGAGTAATTATTCGTCTTATTTTGAAGTAGACATTTTAAATTCAATTTTCTGAAAAATTTTTCGAAATTCTTTTTTATTAAAGTTAAAATTTCAGGGTACATGCATCGATTTATTCCATACAGCTGTATGCGACTGTCGTGGTACTTATCAATCAGGAAAACGATGTGATGAAGGTTTTGTTGATCTTTTCAACAAATCTTGGCTTTTATTTATCGGAATAAATATATATTTTGCTTTTTCTTTTTTTTTTTTGTTTTCAAACCAACAAAAAAGTTTTTATTTAGCTATGAAAACATTAAATGTATCCTGGGATCAATATATCTCCTACAAGATTAACGATGATGAGTTACAACCAACTTTCATATCAATTGATTTTAAGGTAAAATTAAAATGAACTAAAACAAAAAAAAAAAACCATAGCAATAAATATTTTTACTGTACGTTTTTTTTTGGAAGAATAATCAATACACGTCAGATTATTACGGTATAACTATCAATTAATTGACCAATTAATAACAATGGCAATCGAAAATTAAGACATCAATAAATTTACGTCTATGCATTGGCAAGGAAAGATTTTGCTTAATCAGATTAATTAGATGGGATAGAATTTTGCAAATACATTCATAATTCCATTTCATTAAATTAATTAAGCACTTGGGAGAAAAAATATTAATGATAGAACAAACTTAACAGTAATTAATATTAATCCATTTAGACAAAAATAAATGAAGGCTTAATAATTCATGGGACAATTTTGTCGCATAAAACTAACAGGTCGATTGGTATACTAAAATTAGCGCTAATTTATGGAGGACAATTACAATTAACAATAGCCAATCTTACTGAAATCAATTTCTATAATGTTACTCTACACAATGATAGGTATGTTATTATCTTTGATTGACAGTGAGTGTTCAAATGTTAAGATTATCATTTGTTTTATAATTTCTCTAATAATAATATTTAAAATCAAAGATGAACAATTATTGATTATGCAACAATTAAATAATCATCACTGATAGCATTAATAACAATAAACTAGACATGTCAATTTGTTTAGTAACAATAGAACGGATTATCATAAACTGATTAGACTAATGACTAGAAGTTCTGAAATCCACTGTTGCCACAATTACAGGCACACTGGGAATGCTATAGTAATTAAAAAAAAAGCATTTCGAATTTGCTGTTAGGTTATCAATGTAATGGTAAAGTATCAACTAGTATTTGAAAATTACTTTAATTGGAATGAATTCCAAATTTTTGTTTTTTTTGCATGTTATACTTTTCATTTAGGTTTAATCAAATTTTGCTGGAATTCGAATATAATGTAAATGTGGTTCATATGACACTTAATGGTAATACAAAATCAGCAAGTTTGAATATGGATGATGAGAATTGTCATATCAGGTGGATCAAAAATTCAAATCTTTTTTCGTTTTTCTCATTTTTCTTGTTTGTTTTTTTTAAAATTGATTCCGTGTTGATTTATTTGCTAAAAAAATCCGACAAATTTGATAGAATTTTCTTAACTTAAATGATTTTTGAAATTATTTGCCTAATTTAATCAAATAATTCATTTCAAATCAATTTTTTATATCTTAATAGATTTGATAATGAATTATTCTTTTGTGCTGGAGATATTGAAGTTGGCTTATCTGGATGCTTACGTGCAATTTACGTTGATTATTTTGACGTAATCGATGGATATGTTAAAGGTTCATCAAAGGTATTATTAAGTTTACTTCGAACAATCGAACTGTGATAAATGTCAAATGAAATTACTAAGTTATTGTATTATAGGTAAATGCAAATGCAGAATTGAAAAGTTGCGATAGAATTGGTTCAATTATTGGAACAGATCCGGAAATTGAAATTTTACCGGTACTAAATGCCGGCCCAAAATTGTTGGATGGAATTACGGATGAGCAGGTAAACATGCATAGGATTGGATCATGATATGAAATTAAATTTGATCATGAGCTTAAGCATGTGTAAGAAACGGTGCTTCAGTATCATTATGTCAAAAAAATGAAGCCAGAAGTAGTAACAGTTAATAGCATTTAAATACCTAATGTAAAAAATGAATTAGATAACTTTAATTAGTAAGAATTTGTATTAACTTTCAAATATTATTCATCTTCTAAACAATGCATATACAATGTGATTGGCACAGGAAATGATTTCATTATTGAAAGATTTTTCGAGCAAATGATATTATCGAATTTTAAGATATCAAAATTGAAATTGGAAAAAAAAGGAGCTAAATAGGAATTTCAGTTATTACTACAAAAAAAAAAGAAAAAAAAGGAAATGTATTTAATTCTTATTTGTTATAAATAAAAAAAAGTAAACAGTTTTACTAATTTTCATAGAAAAGGTCAGCGATTCAACAAAAATTCAAAAAATTCAAACGAAAATTTTGAATTGAACTTAGATACATAATTGGACTTTGGTATATTAATTCGGTACATTGAAAATTTTCAATTAACTTAAATAAAACATTAAGAAATTTTAAAATGCTAACACAATATTTTAGATTGATGACGATAAAAATGTTGCATTTAATGATGATATTACATGGAAAATTATGACAGGTATGTTGTTTTCTCAACTAAAATTGCAATTACTGTCATAATTATTGTCACAGTTTTGCTAATCTTTCTTTTGAACGTGAAACTTTAAGTTTTATTTATAAATTGTTGAGAAATTAAATATTAAAATTCGTTAGAAATTGTACATTGTTAATTACTTCATCATTAAAAATAATAATGATTATTATTATTATAATTATCATTACTGTTATTATTATTATTATCAATATTACTATTATTATTGTCATTTTTTTTAGACCAGTACTTTTTTACCAAACATAAACTTTAAAATCATTTCACTGTATTTGTACGCTCTCTCAAATTTCCATTATCTCTTATTTCTCTAAAAAAAGGAACGAAAATGAAAATGAAACAAAAAGATGAATTATTTTAAAATTTCCAATAATTTTCCAATAACTTTCAATTATTTTTACATACAACAAATTCGTCTTAAAATTAATCAAATTACTCTAACTTACCTTTATATGCAGATAAACATCGCTTTTAAATCCAGAGATTAATTACTCCCACTTATGCTTATTTGTAATAAACATCCTATTTAAGTTATCCGGTATTCTCATCACTTATTTTTACCTCTAAAAAATTTTATTAGAATATCATAAATGATTAAGTGATAATTTAAGATTTCAACAGTTTTCAAATGATTAAATGGTAATTTAAAACTTTAAAAAAAAATTGTCACTTAACCAGTTTTCAAATGGTTAAGTGATAATTTAGACCATTTTTCAGTGATATTATCATTTGTACAACGAAAATCCTACAAAAACTTTTCCAATATCATTTTGCATAAAATTAGTAAAATTTTTGGTAAAATTTTAAGGAAAAAAGAATCAAAAAGAAAATTTGAAATGGCCAAAAAAGATTTTTCTTTTAGAATTACCAATGAAACAACTTTGTGAAAATGATGAAGCAATAAGTTGCAAAAATTCGATTGAATGTATTAAAGACGATGATTTACCCAAATGCATTTGTCGTAAGGGATTTATTGGAGCATCCTGTCAATTTTGTATGTTTAACAAATTAATTCCCGAAATTTAACCGAAAGCAAAATGTTTAATCAAAATTTAAAAATGAAAAAAATTTAACTAATTCAAATATGCATTTAGTACCTTTGAAAAATTTTTCAAATTTTAAGATTTCAAAATAAACATATTGAATTTACTTTCATATTTCTTATTTGCTTTATCACTTTTTTACATTTAAGCACTTTTACCGTGGAATTGTGATGAAATATTCCATACTGGTAATACAGTATCAGGAATGTATATTATTGATCCTGATGGTTCTGGACCTTTACCGGAAACATATGCTTATTGTGAAAATGGTAAAACAATCATTATACACAATATGCCAAATAATACGATAATTCATAGCAAAGATTTAAATGATATTCATATGATAATTAATTATAGGTAAGTTTCAGAAAATACATTTTTCTTGAATTTTATCAAATTTGCTTTTTTTCCAAAAATATTAATTATTTGTAAAAATTGCAAAAATTATTCGTCAACCATTCTTGGACTCATTCTATCGATTTTGTAAAAATTTTTGAATTTTAATCAAATTTGATATCTGTCATAGATTATTCAACGATGAACTTTTGGAAAGTTTAAAAAATCATTCCGAATCCTGTTCACAAGTAATACGGTATAATTGTCATATGGCACCGCTTGGGTATAATTTATAATTATTTTTCTTTCATTTGTACATGATGATCATTTTGTGGTCAAATTGTTTAAACTCTAAGAAAAAAATTTTTGCATTTAATAGCAAATAAATTTCGATCAGAAAATAAAATGACGGAAAATTTTTTAGGAGTAATAAATAAAATTTGAAATAGCTGTAGAAAATTAAAGTAGGTAGTTGTATCAGGTTGCCAGCACTGCTCATCTCATAATTCCTGATATTATCAAAGGTCAATATCTAATATAAACGGTGCAATCGGAAATTTCATGCAGTTTTAGCTTTTTAAAAATTCTCGTTTAATATTCTTCACCTGTTTAATATGTAAATCACTATGTTTTACGGATATCAGCATAAAGTTTGAGATGAAGTGCATGGAAACTATTCAGGTTTGATACAATGAAAACTTGGTTCACATCAATCTCGAATGAATTTTTTCGCGGATTTGGCGGAGTTGACGGAACATGTCCTTGTCAGGATAACAAATGTACAAGTAAGTATTCGTCTTTTGAATAGTTTGATTTAAAAGAAAAAAAACGCCACATACTTTTTTGAAGAGAGCGAATTTGTTGATCTTTTTGAATTCTATATGAAGCAAAATATTGTTTAAACCTTCAATATAATATTGTTAATATTTTTAAAATTTTTCAATTGATATCTAATATAATTTGACTTATAACATATTACTGTTAAGATAAATATATGTCATTGGATACTATCTGATAATTAATGATGTCATTTTGTCATATTCCATGAGGATTTTGTGTAATTTATAATCAAATAGTTTATTATATATTGGACAAATTGGAATGAATGTTTTTGGAAAAATTACAAGAATATTTTGAACAATTTTTGAAAATTTAACAAATAAAAACTATTTATTGGTATAAAATGTGCTTGTTGATATGCATGTTTTTTTCTTTTTTTTGTTTTAGAATGCAATTGTGACAGTGGTGGTGTCACAAGTGATTACGGTGTAATGACAGGTAATCAGGTCCCAATTCGAGGTATCTATGGATTAAATGATCAATCAGTTGACAACGGTTATTTGACACTTGGCCCATTGGTTTGTATTGGAAACGGTATGCGCTAGACTATTTATTTTTACATTTAAGCATATATAAGGAAACTTTTTTGAAATCTTTTAAAAACTCTTTTTTACTTTTTTTATGGTTTGAAATCTTTCAAAAATAATTAAATGAAATGGAAAAATTAGACAAAGAGCACAACTATTTGTTGAAGTTTTTGATTTCAGATTTACAATTCTTACTGTCTTAACAGTTTTATATTTATTTGACTTGATTTTATTCTATTCCAATTTACACAACACTTTAAAACTTTAAAGAAGAATAAATTTGATAGCAATACTTCAGATTTGCTACAGTGATATGTAACTGAATAACTGCGAAAATGGTTAAGTGTGCCGGACTAACCTTGATTAGTTTGACCATTATCATAAGTTACCTATCTAGTGATCATTTATCGTTTATGATATTTGTTATGAAAGTAAAACATTCAAGCCAACTAATTCAAACCTCAACTATGATTTAAAATATAATTTAAATTAAATCACAATAAGTACACTGACACAGACATACAAACATAATTGAAATAATGCATTGTACAATATTTATATTGTGCTTTTTCTTTTAAATTTTTAAATAAGAGAAGTAAAATTAAATAAGGAAAAAATGAAATCGCACAATTGATTTTCATGTTTGCTTATGAAAAACTGTGAGGAATTGATTTCTCTATATAATTATTCAATTTCCAATATCCGAATAATCATTTTAGCTGGTCAATCAGATTCATATACAATAACAATCCGTAACCAATTTAAGTCGGTGGAAATTGGTACTTGGAATGGTAATATGTTAAGTTTTGAATTTCGTACCTATCTTGAAAGTGCTACATTACTCTCATCAAATGATGCAATTATTACGATCACAATGTTAGAACGAACATTTTATTTGGAAATTGATAATCAAATTAATTTACCACTTATTCCACAATCAAGGTTTGCATTTTTTTCCCTATACGTATTCAAATTTTATCGCTACTGTTTGATTGAATATGAAATAGAGGGAGACAAATGAAATCGTTTAATTTGATTTCAGCAAAAAAATGGCTTGGAAAATTAGTTTAAAATAATGGATATTTGCAAAAAACACTACTTATTGTAAATTAGAATGAAAGTAGCACTGATAATTTTACTCTAAAGTTGAAATTATTTAATTTTTTTAATTTATGTATTTCATCTATAAGAATGTTAGAGTAAATTCTTTTTTTCTATAAAATTTTGCATAATTTTCCTTTTTTTCATTTCCTTGTAATTAAGTATTGATTTTTCCGATAATACGAAAAGTTTAAATTTTGTGTGTTTTTTAAAATAATACGAGAATACGAAAATTTTTAAATAATTTATCTTCATGAATATTTTTTTGTGGATAATGAAAATGTGACGAAAGATGAAGCATTCTGTTTTTCAAAAATTAATTTAACTTTTTAATAACAGAAAAATGAACCACAGGTAAGTTGTTGAAAGAAATTGTTAATTTACAGAAAAAATGATGGATATTGGCATCGGATTATTGTTGATATTCGTGATGGATCAATACGATTCTCAGTAGATGATACAGTAACAACAACAATAATTAAGCAACATTCGTTTAGTAGTAATATAAAATTAAGTATTGGTGGGTAAGTTAATAAGTACAATTAAGAAATATTTGTTCACTTATTTAATATTTAAAAATATTTTTTAGAAATGAAATCGATAGAATTGTTTTTTTTTCGGTAATCAGGTATTTATAATCCGGAATATTCAGTTGAGAGAGTGATGGAAAGTTTTTGTGGCACGTATATGAATTTAATAAATTATCAATTGAAAACTATCACTTTTATTGTTATTGTTTTGTAATAATCTTGAAATTTGATATGGAATGAATTTTACTTTGAAAGTTCGTATTTCATTCAGGCTTTTTTTTAGTGGCCAAGATGGTTTCTTAGGTTGTATTCGTCAAATATTTCTGAATGGTATACTTCACGAAGTGGATCAAACTTTTCGGGGTAAATGTATGAACAAATGTCAATTACATCACTGTCAACATGAAAGTCGTTGTGAGGAAGATTTTGCAACCGATACAGTACATTGTGTTTGCAAGAATGCTATCGTACATTCGGGACATTTATGCCAAAACAGTAAGTTTTGTCATTTTTTCCTTATAAATTACTGCATCGCACACATGCAATAAAACGATATATTAACTACAGTATGCATATGATAAGTAAATATTTGTATACGTTGTAAGATTATAAAGTGTAAATGAATGAATGGATGGAAAAAAGAGTTTACGAATAAAAGTGATTAGAATTACTACTTGCTATATTGTTTTCTTTAGCATTTATCCCACTCAAGTGTAGGGTCCACTTTTTAGTTTATTTGCGCCATCATCCATTTGATCGGGATGTATGCTAACAGTTTTCATATCATTCTGTAGCTTGTCAGACCAACGTTGCTTTAAGCGACCAAGTAGGTTGCTTCTTTGAAATATCGAGGTTAATGGTAATCCTGCACACAGAATCATTATTGATTGGCTTGAAAGGTGTAGCCGTACTATCCGAGGCGAGACTCACGTAACCTGTCAAAAATCAGAGCGATACCGAATCACTGTCGAATGTCGTCATTGTATACGTGGTCGAGGCGCGTAAGACCGGCTGTCCATCGCCAGCATCTACATCCACTAAGGCGACTCTCTGATTCCTTTTTCGCAAGTCAACATTTAGCCCCGTAGATCGCGATAAGTCGGGTCACAAAACGACAGATCATCGAATTGAGATAGTTGGATATGTTCTTGTCGCACATGACACCAATCGTGGAACACCACTTTGACCATACAAAGTTGACACAGGTGGGGGGGGGGGGGGGTGATTGCTTGAGCTATTTGATACATGAATAACATTTATGGTATCCTACTTATCACAATATTCCTTATTTATTTATGTTAATTAATTAGGCAAAGAATAGGAGAAAAAAGGAAGCATACTTATTGTAAGCCAAATTTGCGCAATATAAATTTGAATTTTCATGTAACTTGAGAGACTTAATGATAGGTGGAATGGAAGTGTTGCCGACTTGTTAACTTAATCATAATCAATGTATTATGTAATCTTGTAAGATTTATTTTTATTATTATTGTTATTCAAAGTAGGTGTCATTTCCACCATATTATATCTCGTATAATCACTATAAGTATAATCTCGTATAAGCTATCAATTGACGAATTACCGGAAATGCATCTATGATTTCCGGCTTCTCTTTCCTTATATCATTTTGCAATTATCCTTCTCATCATTTAGTTAAGTAACGTGATGTTTAACTCATTGGTTTTTTTTCATTTCCGGCACGATTACTTCCTGTAGTAATAATTTCATGATAGTTATAAATAATCTCTTGAGAATAACAATAATTCTGTGATGTGGCAGCTCATTAACAATAATTTAATAACTGTAACAATAAATATTGCTTGTTACAGTTATTAAATTACTGTCAATCAGTTACCACCACTATAGAATTATTGTTATTATTGTAATGGTAGAGTTCATTAACGGTAATTTCGCTATCGTAACAATAACGTTACCGTTACAGTTAATTATAACATTACCTTTACCGTAACGCTGCCATTACAGCAACCGTGCATCGGCAACAACTTATTGATAGTAATTTGGAAGTTGTAGTTACCCCAATACAGCAATGCTGCATCGGCAACAAAGCATTGAGAATAATTTGAGAAATGTAACAATTAACTGTAACTTTTTAATAGTAACGATTCATTAATTTTATTTTCACAACCATAACAAACAATAGGGAATTCGTAACGATCAATAGCAGCTCATTAACAGTAATTCTAACAATATTAATATATGATATTATACTGTGATTGATATGCAATAATCGTATAATTTCGCAAAAAGTCATTCACAGTTTCATTTACTACACGTTAAATGATCGTATAATTCTTATATTGTAACTTTCTTCTGCCTTCTTTTTGTTGATCTTTGGTTTTTCGTTCTTTTTTTTGTAAATAAAATAAAATTTCAAAAAGTTTAAGGTGTTAATTATGGGACAGAAGTGAGTTTTCACGACTCAAAAGAAGCATTCCTGAAAGCTGAAAATATTACTATTGCAAATGCATTGATGCAACGGATTATCTTCAGTTTTCGTACTGATCAACGTGATGCTTTACTCATTTACCTTCATGATCAGTTGTATAACTTCATACAGGTACAGTATGATTTCATTTATTTCTTATATCCTCTTTCACTTTTCCTCTAGATTTAAATTTCTTCAGCAAAATTGAAAGAAATAAATCAATCTTTCTTTTAAATATATAACTGAAATATTTAAAGTGTTAGTTTCTATTCAGTCTGAAGAAAAATTTGCATTAATTGTTAATTACAATTACTCCATTAATCGATCAATCCATTCATATATTGATTTTATTTGCATACAAATACTTTTCATTGATTATTTATTGCCTGATAGAAATGAAAGTGAAATAATTTGCAAGTAATTAATGAAAAATCTACAATAAATGATCAATTTTATCATTATCTTTGTTAATCATTTATCTAATAATATCTTAAACCAAACATTTAATGAATTATCGTGATATAAACAACGCTTACTGAACTGATTCCCGTTCATTCCCTTTCTTCTTATTCCTGTGACATAATCCTTTATTTTATTTCATATATTTCCAAATGTTGCTAGATGTTTACCAAATTTTCTGATAATGTATGATTTGATTACTATCGCGATTTCTTCAATTTTGAAATTTTTAATTTTATAATCTTTGCTGATGCTATCTCTTTAATTCACTTATCACTTATCTATAAAAATTTCAGTTAATTTGATAATATATATTTCTTAAATATAGGTGACATCCGAATGATTTGTTTTTGAAATTAAATATAATAACAAATTATACAAAAATCGTTTCTAATTAACAAAAATGATGAGACAAATACCATTAAATTGTTTTTGAAAACTACAAATCATTAATAACCACAACAGGTACACCTATCCGATCATTCACATATGGTATTAACGCTTAATTTTAATCGTACCATTTATCGCTGTGAAGTTATCGCCAAAATTGGAAATGGTAAATAAAATTTGGGATAATATGAGTAATTAAATTAGAAAAGCTTCGTATAAAATGATATTTTAAGTATTAAATTTTTTCTGTCGATCAATCAATAACTTGATCAATCAACTCCCGATAGCAATTAATATCTCAATCATATATTCCGAAAAGATGGTATTTTCGTAAATATATGACCTATTGAATAATATAGCAACCGGAAATAGTGCAACTGAAAATTTTTTTTCGAATCAAAATTTTACATCGAAAAATTTCGATAATTCTGTTAACTTGAGAAAAAATATTTTTTTTCGAATGTTTTGTTGTGTTTCTTTTTTTTTTTTGCATTGTAGAATATAGCAGAATGAAATGGATTCAAGTGATGATATTTCAATGGTCGGATTCTGTTGAATTAAATGTCAATGATGAAATATGTCAAATTGCTGGAAAGCGTATTCTTTCCAATAATTTTATTAAAAAATTCGAAATTACTCATGATATGGATGGTGATTTATTTCATTTTCTTTTCTAAAATTCCAATTTTTCAAAAAAGAAAAAACGGAATTTGAGTATTTCAATTTAGCTTCTATTATCAATTTCCGGAAAACTACCTATCACTGTTTAATTAAACATGACAAAATTTCCTACTTTTTATTTTATTCAAAATTTAGATATCATTCAACCGCCAGTTTCACCAATAACTGAAAAAGGTGCCGCCTTCAATTTCAATCAACCGTACGTTTTATTATTCATTGCTGGTGTACCAACTGAAATTCATTTTGGTAATTTGGAACCAATTTATCGATCAATTATCCCGAATTTACTTGGTTGTATGCGTGGTTTAATGATTGGTGGAAAGCTAATTGATATGCGTAATCAACATTATTGGTCTTATTATCCAACTAAACCAGGTTTGAAAATCACTTTAACAAAAAAAAAAAAAAGAAAAAAATAACT